CCCGAGCCTGGGTCCCCAGGGTCTGGCCCATAACTGGGGCTCAGCGCTGCCAGTTCTGGGGTTCAGCCCAGGCCGGGGTTTTTATTTCCTTCCTGCTAGTGAACGCCAGGCAGCACCCAGCTCTTTCCTCGTCTCCAGCTGTGACCCCTCCATGCGTGCGTGCGGGCGGGCGCGCAGCATGTCTCCGTACCTTAGGCTTTTTCAGCTCCTCTGATTTTCCTTCTGGTTTTTTCTTTCCTTCTTGTTGTAGAATTTTCTGTCAGTCGACTACCTGTAGCTCTGGGCAATGTCCACTCTACATTTTAGTTGTATTCCATTGAAATTGTTGTGGGCTGCTGAGGTTAGGTGTCTACCTGAGCAGCCATCTTGGGTCCTCCCTCCTCTTCATTCTCTTTTTAAAAAATCCTCACTGAAGGATATTTTTGCATTGATTTTTAGAGAGAGTGGAAGAGAGACAAAGACAGAGAAAAATATTGATGTCAGAGAAACACATCAATTGGTTGTCTCTTGCCTGGGCTCTGACTAGGACATAGGACCTGCAACCAAGGAACATGTCCTTGACTGGAATCAAACCTGGGTCCCTTCAGTCTGAAAGCTGATGCTCTATCTACTGAGTCAAACTGGCTAGGGCTGTTCTTCATCTCTGTTATTGAGTTCTTCTATTTAGTTCTTTTCTGTCATTTCAATCCTATTGGTAAAGTAGTCCTTTTCTTATTTTTTTTTTCTTTAAATAAATATAGTTTAATTGATTTTTTTTTTTTACAGACAGGAGAGGAGAGGGAATTGAATCATGACCTTCTGGTTCATGGGTCAATCACTGCCCAACCACGAGCCAGGCTGGGTGGGCTATTCTTTTTTATTCTTCATCTTTTTTAAAAAAAAAAAATACTCACTAGAGAATATTTTTCCATTTTAGACAGTGAGAGAGGGAAAGACAGAAACATCAATGAGAGAGAAACATCGAACAGCTGCCTCCTGTACGCCCCCTATCGGAAATCAAGCCTGCAACCAAGGTACATGCCCTTGGCCAGAATTGAACCCAGGACCTTGCAATCAGTGGCCCGATGTTCTATTTACTGAGCCAAACTGGTCAGGGCAGTAGTCCTTTTTTTTCATAGGTTTTATTTCTGAGTTCATAAACCTGCCCTTCTGAATTTTGTAACTTGTTGAGATGGTCTTTGTTGTTGTTTGTTTTGTTTTCAGAACTGCAGTCTTGACTTCGCTGCCATTGAAATCACATATTTCCATGTCTTTACATTTATTTTCTGGAAACTTTTCATCTTTTTGAGCTATTATGTTACCTTTGTTATTCATGGTATTTGATGGGTTATTTTCTCTGCCTAGACACCTGAAGTGCAAGTTTTTATTTTCTCTTATTTATATGTCTATTGCCTCAGAGATCTCTGTTGGGGTGGTTTTGGGAGGACTATGGAAAATGCCCTATATCCTTGGTGATGTGGGTGTCACCTCTGTTATCAGGTTGCCTCAATCTCAGGGCACCATTCCTTTGTGGGAGTATGGTGGACAATGGGGGTTCTGTGCCTCAAGAACCTAGCACTTTCTTCTGCAACTGGATTGCTGATAGCAATTTGTCCTGAGTTTCCAGATGTCTGCATGGACCCCTCTATGATGTGTAGTGGTGGGCTGGACTGGAAAGGCTTGTTTGTGCATTTATGGTTTTGTTCTCCTTCTAGGAATGGCGGCTGCCAGAACTGGATTTCTCTAAGACTCAGTCTGTAGATTTTTTCATTTACAATCCTACCTTGGATGATCTAGTTTGGTACTGTTGCTTTAAGTACTATCAATATCCTGATGTCGCATATTTATTTCTCCAACTCAGATTTCTCCTATGAACTTCTTTTATGTCTACCTTTCTACTAAAAGCTTCACTAGATGTCTAATAGGCATTTCAAATTTGTATATGCAAAACTAAGTTCCTGGTTTTCCCACCCAATCCTACTCCTGTCATCAGGCTTCATCATAGTTGATTGCAATTCTTTGTTCAACTTGTTCAGGCCCATTTCCTGGAATTACCTTTGATCCCTCTTGTTCTCATAATCTTAACTAATCTGACAGCAAATCTTATTTTCTCCATCTTCAGGTTAATATTTAGAATCTGTCTAATTTCAAGCACCTCACTACCATTGCCTTGATTCAGGCCAATACTGTCCCTTACAGCATCTATAGAGGTTTGAGCAGAACATGGCATCTGAGATGCTTAGAATTTGAGAATAGAAAGAGATCTTCAAGGTCATCTAGACCAGTAGTTGTCATACTGCTCTCACTTGGTCCCTCACTTAAAAAAAAAAAAAAAAAAAATATATATATATATATATATATATATATATTTTATTGATTTTTCACAGAGAGGGATAGAGAGTTAGAAACATTGATGAGAGAGAATCATCAATCAGCTGCCTCTTACACACCCCCTACTGGAGATGTGCCCGCAACCAAGGTCATGCCCTTGTCCGGAATCGAACCCAGGACCTTTCAGTCCGCAGGCCGACGCTCTATCCACTGAGCCAAACCGGTCCCGGCGGTCCCTCACTTTTCATGGAAGTTCCCCTGGGGCTACTGCTGGGACCAGTGGTTAGTTGAATGAGAGATATTTGGGTGACCTTTCTCCCCTTCTAAATCACAACCAAAGAAGCTTGAGTTTTATCTCTTTTACATGTTTGGTTTCTGTACTAAATTTAGTTGGAAATGTTTTATTGCTTTGAAACATTTGAAAACTGCTGATGGAAATTGAACCCAGCACCCATGAGGCACTTCATTTAGTTTTTAAACATTGATATCAGAGATTTCCTTCTACATACACACTTGAGATCACTCTTCTTGTAGCAGTTATTTTTTGGTTTGTGCTTGAGGGCCAACTAGTTCCCAACCTGTTCTCATCTGAATGCTCATTAGTATCAGAATCCTATATAATAAAAGACTAATATGCAAATCTACTGAACGGCAGAATGACTGGTCCCTGTGACATGCACTGATCACCAGGGGCCAGACACTAAACACAGGAGCTGCCCCCTGGTGGTCAGTGTGCTCTCTTAGGGGGAGCACCACTCAGCCAGAAGCTGGGCTCATGGTTGGCGATCACAGCGGAGGTGGCAGGACCCTCTCCCACCTCGGCAGCAGCGCTAAGGATGTCTGACAGCCAGGAGTTGGACATCCCCAGAGGGCTCCCAGAGTTTGAAAGGGTACAGGCTGAGCTGAGGGATGCCCCCCCCAAGTGCATGAATTTCGTGCACCAGGCCTCTAGTAATTTTATAATCTTCTAACACAGCTCATTGTGTAAGGCCTAGGTGAAACCATGAGGCTGTGAATGCAGGTGCAGTGAGTTGAGCCTCTGAATATCAGCTAAGGGGCTGGCTTTGTTCTAAAAGGCTGCAAAAGTGAGGAGAGCCAGCAATTTTTTTTCTTTTCTTTCTCGAGTCTTGAGGGCAGGACAGTGGTCTTGAAGGCAGGAATTCCTTTAATCAGCTTTCACTTTTGGGTTGGGCCACACATATAATAAGCCTGTTGTCATGGGGCCTACGAGGAGAAAACAGATTTGAAAGCATGTTACTAGAGTGGGCAATGCTTTGTGGCTGATTAGATATTCAAGGGTTGGAGGGGAAAGATTGAAGATTCCTTTGCTTTGTAGACCTGTCTGGAGACACTTGGTAAGAAGTGTCATGAAGAGAGGCAGGGCTTTTGGAGGCTGGAAGCTTGTGATCTGGGACGTCAGTTCTCAGTAGCTGCAAATCCAAATACTCATGTCATGCTGGCAGCAATATCTGGAGCCCAAAAAGTCAAACGACACAGCAGGATGATTTTAGATAATATATAGTGATACCCAGTGGAGAATCCTGGGCTAGTCAGAAATATTGACCACTCATTTGTTTGAGGCCGAGATTTGCAACTAATTTGTTTTTCAGGTATGAGGTCAAGGCAAGAGCCAGTATCTGATACAAATAATTACAATTACTTTTATTTCCAGGACACATTATCTGATTGGTTTGATGTCAACTAACACTAACACAGGCTGTGTGACATCTAATAAGTGGCAGAGCCAGGGCTGAATTAAGATTGATCTGGCTCAACATCTGTGCCTCCTGCAGTGACCCTGTTACTTTGCACATTCAAAGTAACAGCTGTTATCCAGCAGGAGAGATGGAGGCTGGAGTTTGCAATTGAATGGGAACCTGACAAGATGTCAGACCTTGAACCACACAGTATGCTTCTGTCAGCTACAGCATCTTTGAACTCACAGAATACTTACTGTAAAATTTTACATTTTAGTGAAGAGCTTTCACACTAGTTATCTTCCATGATTCTCACAATGACATTGAGTAAATATTACCTGAATATTACGGGTGAGAAAATAAAAGTATGTGGTGGTAAAGATTTGGTGAAGGCCACACAATTAGTAAGCTGCAGATTGAACTCAATGCTTTGAAATGTTAGTCCAGAGCTCTTTGTTTCATGGGGAAATCATCATGACTTGTTATTGATAAGGAAAGCAATAAAAATTAGTAGTAAAGTTGCTTGAGTTGGGGAGGAGGTTGTATTTAAGTGGTGGAGACTAACATACAATTCCTGTATCTTAAGCACCTTCTGAGTGTATTTTTTCTAATTTCTTTAATTGGTAATGTTCTGCCTACCAGATATGGTACCTAGCCAATCTGGTTCCTTCCTTTAAAAAAAAAAAAAAAAAAAAAAATATATATATGTATATAATTTTTTTTAATTGATTTTTTACAGAAGGGAGAGGGATAGAGAGAAACATCGATGAGAGAGAAACATCCATCAGCTGCCTCCTGCTCACCCCGTACTGGGGATCGAGTCTGCAACCAAGGTACATGCCCTTGACCGAAATCAAATCTGGGACCTTTTAGTCCACGGTCTGATGCTCTGTCCATTGAGCCAAACCAGTCAGGACTGTTTCCTTCCTTTTTGACTGATATTACCACTATGGAAAGTTGCTAAAATTAATTTTTACTAATTTTTATTTTTAGAAAGAGGTTTTCCCATTTCCAGAAGTTAGCCAAGATGAACTTAATGAAATCAATCACTTTGTGGGACCCATAGAAAAATTCTTCACGGAAGAGGGTATGTATGATTTTCTTTACCATTACCAATTTCCATTTTAGGGTGATACTTTGACATTTATATTAGTTATTTCCAGAGGGGAAGTTCTCTGGAGTATCATTAATTATAGGAAAATAGTGTCTATTGACAGTATTTTAAGGATTATTCCAATGGCTGTTTAAGTTATATTTCAATGTTCTTCAATATATCTGTGAAGAAACACTTTTAAATATTTCCAAAGTGTTGCAGACTGACACTTTTGTAAATACCATAAAAATAAACAACTAGAAAAATAAAATGAAAATAAACAACAACCAAGGACTTATAAAATATAAGCCCATATGTGATTAGTTGAGTAGCAATGTAAAATTGTTGCAAATGTTTCTAAAAGTTTGCTCTTGATTTCAGTACTTAGCTTATTATGAATCAGGAATAGTTTGTGGACCAGCAGTAGGCTGCAGACTGCAAGTTGAGGGTACAAGTGTAGATGGCAGGATCCTTCCTTAGGGTATGGTCAGCCAACCTTGAGGAGCCCCCTGAGGATCAGTGATGCTAGATTGACAGCAGTGTTCCTCAAACTGAGGACCCCCAGAAGTTCTTATTTATGTGGCTTTTATGTAGCAATATGTGCCCTATTAGAAATTAAAACAGAAATTTAACGTAATTATTACTTTTAAAAAAAAAAAAAACCAACCCCCTACATATTACATCAACAATATTTTTAATGAAAAATAATATTCCCAAACAAAAAATAGTGAAGAGTGGTATATTTTGTTTTGTTTTTTTAATCTTTTGAATATTTTACCCTGTCTTGTTCCTTTTCTTAGGAGAAATGGTTTTAGTATTTAGACCATTGAATATGGTGTTGGCTATAGATTTGTCATATAAGAGTTTTATTATTTTGAAGTATGATCTCTATTCCCATGTTGCTGAGAGTTTTTTTTTTTATCAAAAAGGGTGTTTGAGGGAGAACCAGTATGGCAGCATAGGTAAATGCCTGTACTCGCTGCTTCCCACAACCACATCAAAAGTACAACTAAAATACAGAACAACTATCATCCAGAACCCCCAGAAGGCTGGCTGAATGGAAGTACTACAGCTAGAAGAAGTAAAGAAGAAAGCACACTGAGACTGGTAGGAGGTGCGGAGGTGCATAACGGGCTGGTCCAGCAGTCAGGTGTGCCACTTTTTTAATAGGGAGGTAGATCGCCTCTTTGGAGGCCACCTGGAGGAGCAAGGGGTCCCATCCCCACACCAGACCCCCAGACCAAGGTTCTACAACTGGAAAAAGAAGTCCCAACAGGCAGTAAAAACTACAGATTGCAAAAACCAGTGATGATTGGGGCTGAGTAACACACAGGCTGCTGGAGATCCAGCTGCTCCACTTAAAAGGCCAGCACTGAGAACTGAACTTACAAGCTCCAACTTGCTCTGACCTCCAATGCCAGGAGAGGCTCTGGGGGACCCAAAAACATATCAGAGAAACTGGACTGTCTGGCATCTGGACAGGAACATGGGGGCAGCTTTCTTCCAGATGGAGGTGTTTCCAGAGGTCATTTTTCCTGTGCTGGGACCTCCCCAGTGGAAAGCTAACTGGGAACCATTTCTCTTTGTTCTGCTCTGGTGATTCCCTGAGACCCTGCCCCACCAAATTTATAACTCCAACCAAGCTGTGTGCAGCAGCTTTTGCATATGAATGGCCTGCCCTATCCTAGGCTAAAAATCTGCCAAATAAGCTGCAGCTGGGACAGGGAGTGCCAAAACTATCAATAGAAGGCCCAAGACCTGGCACCAGCACCAGTTTGCCTTGCTTCACAGTTGGACCTCATCTGGGCACTTCCAAACTCGATACAAAAAGGAGGAATCTGCATATCTCTCTGTTGCTCCTGCTGGGTGGCTTCAGGCAGTGGCTGACTCTGTACCTTCCTGGAGACCCAAGAGCCAGTGTGCCCAGTGGTCAGTGTGAGACCATACCAGATTACAACTCTTCACATCCATAAGAGACACACTCAAGGGGCAGACTCAGTGAGCACCAAAGCCCCACTGAAGCAAGTCCTGATCATAAAGATGTCTCCTGTACAGCAGCTCTCTCCCTATAGTTGCAGCTGATCCCTACAGCCAAATGGCCTGGAGGTCAATTCCTCCAGTGACACCAACAGCAATCAAGGATCAACTACAACAAAACTGTGCACATAGCCCACAAAGAGATGCACCAAGAGTGTCCAACTCAGGTGATTTGGGAGGCTGAGCCACTGGGCCCTGTAGGACAGCTGCTACACAAGGCCACTCTATCAACTTAAGGAGACTTAGCAGCTACCCAATACATAGAAACAAACAGAGGGAAGCAGCCAAAACACAGAGACAAAGAAACATGTCACAAATGAAAGAAAAGGAATTAAGCAAAGTACTGGATATACAGTTCAAAACCACAGTTAAAAGCTTACTCAAGAATCTTCTAGAAACCTCCAAGGAACTTTGTGAGACCTTCAAGGATCTTAGTGAGAATGGCAAAAAATTGGGTTAAAGACCAGTCAAAAATTAAGCATATAACTGACTGAAAATAAGAATAACATACAGGGTTTCAACAATAGACTAGAGCAGTATTTCCCAAACTTCTCTTATGATGAGAATCACCTGGTGGAGTTGTTAAAATACAGATTCCTGAATCCCAACTAAGAAGTGCTAAACTAGAATTTTTGGGAACATATAGGTAAAATTGTATACTTAACTTAATGCTCTGTCTTGGAGCACTAGTTAAGTTTAGCACTTCTTAGTTGGGATTCAGGAATCTGTATTTTAACAACTCCACCAGGTGATTCTCATCATGAGAAGTTTGGGAAACACTGGACTAGAGGATCCTGAGAATCAAATTAATGATTTGAAATATGAGCAAGCAAAAAGCACTCAACCAGAAGAGCAAAAAGAAAAAAGAATCCAAAAATATGAAGATGGTGTAAGGAGCCTTGGGACAACTTCAAAAGTACCAACATCCAAATAATGGGGATGCCAGAAGAAGAGAGAGAGCAAGATACTAAAAACCTATTTGAAGAAATAATGACATAAAACTTCCCCCACCTGGTGAAAGAAATAGACTTACAAGTCTAGGAAGCACAGAAAACCAAACAAGGAATCCAAAGAAGACCACACCAAGACACATCATAATTAAAATGCCAAGGGCAAAAGACAAAGAGAATCTTAAAAGCAACAAGAGAAAAACAGTTAGTTACCTACAAGGGAGTGCCTATATCACTGTCAGTTGATTTCTCAACAGAAACTATGCAGGCCAGAGGGGAGTGGCAAGAAATATTCAAAGTGAAATATTCAAGATTACCCAGCAAAGCTGTCATTTGGAATTGAAGGTCAGATAAAGAGTTTCACAGACAAGAAAAAGCTAAAGGAGTTCATCACCACCAAACCAATATTATATGAAATGCTGAAGGGTATTCTTTAAAAGAGGAAGAAGAAAAAGGCAAAGATAAAAAATATATGAAGAAAATGACAACAAATACATATCTATCGATTGAATCTAAAAATCAAATGAATAGCTGAGACTGGTTTGGCTCAGTGGATAGAGCGTCGGCCTGCGGACTGAAAGGTCCCGGGTTCGATTCCGGGCAAGGGCATGTACCTTGGTTGCGGGCACATCCCCAGTGGGGGGTGTGCAGGAGGCAGCTGATTGATGATTCTCTCTCATCGATGTTTCTAACTCTCTATCCCTCTCTCTTCCTCTCTGTGAAAAATCAATATAATATATTTTAAAAAAAATAAAAATAAAAAAAATCAAATAAAAATCAAATGAATAAAAAATCTGATGAATGAACTGGTGAATGGAATAGAATCATGGGCATGGAAATGGAACAGACTGACGATTCTCAGAGGGAAGGGGGTGTAGGGAATGCAGGAAGAGATTAGACAAAGATCTTATATGCATGTACGGAGTACCTATGGACACAGACAATAGGGTGAGAGTACCTGGGATGGGGTGGGAACCAGGTGGAGGGGACCTATGGGGCAGGGGGAGAAATACCCTGTGAACCAGGGCTTTTGTTTGTTGGAAGTTTTTTTTATTACTCTTTCAATTTCATTGGTAGTTATCCGTCTATTCCAGTGGTTGGCAAACTCATTAGTCAACAGAGCCAAATATCAATAGTACAACAATTGAAATTTGAGAGCCAAATTTTTTAAATTTAAACTTCTTCTAAGGCCATTTCTTCAAAATAGACTCACCCAGTCCATGGTATTTTGTGGAAGAGCCATACTCAAGGGGCCAAAGAGCTGTATGTGGCTCATGAGCTGCGGTTTACTGACCACTGGTATATTCAGTTTTACTGATTCTTCCTTATTGAGTTTTTGAAGATTGTATTTTTCTAAAAATATGTTCATTTTGTCTAGGTTGTCCAGTTTGTTGGAATAGTGTTGTTTGTAGTATTTTTATTTTTTATTTTTTTGCAATTCTTTGTATTTCTGTAGGGTTGTTTGTTACTTCACCACTTTCATTTCTAATTTTGTTTATTTGCATCCTTTTGCTTTGTTTCTTGGTGAGCCTGGCCATCAGTCTTGTTTATCCTTTCAAAGAATCAGCTCTTGGTTTTATTGATTTTTTGGGGATTTGTTGGTCATTTATTTCCACTCTGATCTTTATTATTTCCTTCCTTATACTTACTTTGGGCTTTTCTTATTACTCCCTTTCTAGTTTTTTACGTTATACGGTTAGATAATTTATTATTAGTTTTTCTTGTTTTTTGAGGTAGGCCTGAAGTACTATGAACTTCCCTCTCAGGACTGCTTTTACTGTGTCCCATAGATTTTTGGATTGTTGTGTTTTCATTTTCTTTTGTTTACAGAATGTTTTTTTTATTCTTTGATCTCTTCGGTAACCCATTTATGGCTTAATAGTATGCTCTTTATCCTCCAAGTGTTTAGATTTTTTGATTGTTTTATTGTGGTTTATTTATAATACTATGCCATTATAATCTGAGAAGATCCTATATATAATTTCAATCTTCTTGAATTTGTAGAGA